CATAAAAAGTGCTAAATTTTAATAAAATGTAAAATACAACAATGAATTGCAGCAGCCAATCATTAGTAACATTCTTACCAAGTTACATAAAAATCGTTTTAATGCTTCTTGAGATATAACTGAAATAGCTTAAAATTCACACATTATTATGCAGATAAGCTCATTAATATGCATGGGTGTCAACCAAAAACTAATCAAATGTGCGCATTGCCCCAGACAAGCTATATACCAAGTTTCATTGAAATCCGAACATTGGTTCTTGAGATATCGATGGAAGGGAACACACCCACACACGCGCCCGCGCCCGCGCACACGCGCACACGCACACACACACACACACACACACGCACGTACTTTTATGCAGCACCATTATAAATAACATTACAAAGTTGAAAAACCCCAAAATATGAATGTGAATAAATGGGGTTTTCATTGTGTGTTTTTTTTTAATTTTATTCTTCATTGCTTGTTGTTTTATGCTATGTGTTCACATGTGGCATAAATGCAATCATTAATTCATTGATTGAACAAAAATAAAATTAATTGTATACATAAGAATGAAATGCGAATAATTTTAAATACATAATATTAAATGGCCTCATCCTAAAACTTAACAAGATGATACTATAGTACAATGTCAAACATAACATCAAGCGAAAACGTGTAGGTTACGAGAGCAGTAACTGGTCAAAATGGGTTGCCCCCTCCCCTAAATCTGTCCCTGTCACCCAATATTTGTTACAGAAAAGTATTGATCTGAAAACCTGCATGGTGACATCATAAACACCTTTGCTTTACAAACCACTCTGGACACATAAAGTATTTTCGAAAAACATTGCAAAAATGATGATTTATTTTGTAAAATATGCATGTAGATTTAAAGCATTACACATTATATATCTTACTCATTATGTAATAATTCCATGCTCAAATATGGTACCTAGTAAATCACTGAAATTATGGGATGCTTATAATTTAATGAAGAAAAACAATAATCAAATCATTTAGAAAGGTTCTCGGGGTCACACAAGTAGATATTTGTATGTGATTTAGCCTCTAGTCGTATACATATCTTTATCTTCTGGCTTTGATTGACCATGATCTACTTTTGGTGTTGATGGCTGCTCAGCTTTCACTGGAGCTGGTCTACTCTCAACCTGTTACAAGATAGATGTTGGTTATTACCCCTGCAATAACTATCGTAATAGAGCTACAAATTCAATTGAATCTTTTTTATGGCAACTCAACCAATCGCACAGAATCACAAATCAAATGCATGTGCATATACTTGCATGTATGACATAATGTATGATGTATTTGTGAAATTTAAACATGTTTTGTGAAGTCAAGTCAGAGAAATGTTTTTGAAACAAAATGACCACCAGTTGGACATTTTATTGAATCAAAAAAAATAAAATGACATACACCTAGTACCAACAAATTAGATCAAAACTTGTCTATGTATGATGAGAGCAAGGTCGAAGTAGACTGTCATCATCAGATCCAGTTTCAGAATGGACTTTCATCTTCAATTTGATCATGTGCATACATGTATGTATGTGTGACATGCATGTAGCCAGTTTGAACATGATCAAGCAAGATAAGTCAGAAACACAATCAAGATGTTGTTCTGTTTTTTGCACTAAAACCACCATTATTCAGCTATCTAGAATCAAATGAATGCATACATATGTATTCCAAGATGTTTGATTTTTATGTGAAGTTTGAATGTAATCAGTCCAGGCATGCTGCATGCACACATGCATGTACGCACAAACAACATTTCAGATGGAAATTGGGTGATCAATATTTTGATGACATTAACCCAAAATATTAATAAAAGCATGACTATGATGATATTTTTATTCAATTTGGCTCAAAAATTATGAGATAAATACAGCTTTCAAAAAATGAGAATATACTTCCCTATGGTATCTACTAAAAATGCTTTGGAAGTCTCCTAGATTGAATAATAAATTTCTAACTGATCTCTAATATAATTTTTTTTGGAAGATCATCTTTCTTAATTTTCTCACCAAAAATAATTTACAGTGCTCCTTCATAGAATTTTAGGGAGCATAACAGCATATTTGCATAACAATAACTTTTGAAACAATAGCCTTGTTGCAGATGGACATGAAAATGTGGAAAAACTGTTGCTGGGAAACCAACAGTGATGACAAGAGTTATGAAAGGTAAGTTTGGCATGGCAATTTTATACAAAGATCACTTAAACTGATAAATTTACCTTTTTTGGTGGACTGCTTTGTGTTTTTTTCTGTGAACGTTTCGTTTTCTGTTGCTCATATATCTCTATAGCTTTATCAGCTGTTTTTCTGTATCCCTTCTGTGCAATCTCCACTGATTGCTTAGGGTAACATAGCGATGCTGTGGCAGTCATTAACCCACCGGCATATATCAGTTTTCTTGCTGTTCCACCTGAAATGTAAATATGTGTCCCAAAATAACTAGATTGATTTACCCATGACTGGTGGGAAATTCAAATTCCATTTGGACATCATCTGATCTAATCAGTGAGTTGTCTGACTGATATATAATAATAGTTCTAATCAAATCATTACTATACATAAACACTGTAAATGTAAAATATGAATACAGTCAAACCTATGTATAGCAAGCACCCAAGGACTTTATTAAAATGGTCTTTATAGACAGACTGTCTCTTATATAGAAGTTGGATTATTATTTTATGGATCATCAACTCATACATTTGACATAATTTGTCCAGAAAATAATGAAACGGTACTGTAGCAGGCGGGCGGGCGGTCTTTATACACAGGTTGATCATTTGTTATGCCTTAGGACTGCATAAAAGTGGTCACTATAGGCAGGTGGTCTTTATATACAGGTTGCTCATTTGATGTGCCTTGGGACTGCCTAAAAGTGGTCACTATAGACAGGTGGTCTTTATATACAGGTTGCTCATTTGTTGTGCCTTAGGACTGCCTAAAAGTGGTCACTATAGACAGGTGGTCTTTATATACAAGGTTGCTCATTTGTTGTGCCTTAGGACTGCCTAAAAGTGGTCACTATAGGCAGGTGGTCTTTATATACAGGTTGCTCATTTGTTGTGCCTTGGGACTGCCTAAAAGTGGTCACTATAGACAGGTGGTCTTTATATACAGGTTGCTCATTTGTTGTGCCTTGGGACTGCCTAAAAGTGGTCACTATAGACAGGTGGTCTTTATATACAGGTTGCTCATTTGTTGTGCCTTAGGACTGCCTAAAAGTGGTCACTATAGACAGGTGGTAACTACAGGCAGGTGGTCACTAATGCAGGTTTGACTTTATGACAAAGCAAACAATGAGGTTAACACAAGAATACCACAATGTATGCATAAAACAAGTATGAGAAGAGGTCAATGTGATCCCACTCCACCTGAGATACATACTTTTTGGTATTCTTGTGATAACCTCAATATTATACACATTTCCTGCTTGTAGTCACAACTTGTTCGAAATAACAAACATTGTACGTGATTCTTGCCGCAAAGTATCAACGGGATTGTCTGTGTTCAGTGAAATGATTCAATTTCCGTATAATGCTTTGTATGAATATATTCCAAAGTGACATTTTTTGTGAATTAGATTTCCCAAACAAGGAGAACATTCATTTTTGATATTCTTCATACAGCAGTATCCTCACCCAAAATATCAGGTTGAATCTCTACTGACAATTTATTAATATGATTATTATTATTATTTTAGTTGTTTAAATTGCTTTAAAATAAAATAAAATTAATTTTAGTGTTTCTGGGACCCTATCAATTTTACGGTTCATGCTTCATAACACTGATACCAGGTTGAGAGATAAGAAATCTTGACCTACCCTTAGCACCAAGAAACACGCCTAAAACACCAGCCATTGATATGGCAACTAAACGAGGAACAATACCCTCCTCTGTTTGTGCATATTCAATAACATCTGTGAATAAAATTAAATATCAGAAAATTACATAAGTTTATAAAGACTATACATATATGAAGTGTACATTAGCACAAAATTGAAACTATGCTTGATCGGAGACTCAAATGAATGTTTCCATAGCAACCAATTTGCAGGGAGATAATATTGTTTGCAAACATATGATGCTATATAAATGCCTATATAATCAAAAATAAAACTGTTTGTTTTTATTCAAATCATCTGCTGTCAGTTACTGTACATGGATATTCTGTAGTTGGCAAAGGATAACACAGACTGATGTGTTTTATAACATTATCTGTTTAGTGGAATATATGACTGAATCTTACAATCATGGGTGAGAGTAATCCACTGTTTGTGTTCATTGACAACGTTTTTACCAGATGGTAATAAAAATATGGATTTATTTATCTTTTAACCATGTAACACTCTCATGAAGATGATTACCTTTAGATACGGACTGCGTTTTGTTACAGACTTCTTTTGTTTTATCTATTGTGCCCTGTAAAACAACCAACAAATACAAACTGAGAATAATATTTCTTAGATCAGAGAAAATCTCTAAATCTTGTAACAGTGATTTTTTTACAAGGCACTTTAGGCCATAGAGTCACAGTAACATAATTCCATCATTACCAATATCTCTATATCATTTAATCATACAAAATTGTCATGGTTTGAAGTGAGAATTACTTCAATGTTGTATAAAAATAGGTGCCAATACATAGACATGGAAGTGAACAAAATGCTCCCTTTTCTTGGAGTACTAGGTTGTTGACGGGTATTGGAACGGATATTTGGATTTCTATGATTTTAACACTGTGGTTTTATTTTACGTTATTGACATGAAAGCATATGGTCATATAATTACTTTTTTGTGTAAAAAATAGATAAAAAAAAACATGAAAATGATGAAGTTTCAGCATACGGGGAAAAGATCTCGTCATATCTAAAAATATCATTCAGGGACATATAGTGAAAAAAATAGTATGTACAAAATGGGTAATTCTGAATGTCACAAATTACTAGTATTAGGAGATTCTGGGAAATAGAATTTATTTTTTATGAAATAATGCCTTTCCATGGATTCCTTTGAAAATTGTTCCAAAAATGCCTATTTTTGGCAATTTGTAACCAGACTTTCTCACCTCAAAATCATGATTTGTATCGGGTAAAAACATTCAAAAGGATATGACATTTATCCAAATTAATTAAGTAGCACTTTTGAAATAGGATAGCACAATGTAATACCCTGACCTGCATTGGTTCTGCTACCTTGCATACACGTTGTCTATAGCCCCCCCCCGACAGCACATTGCAGTACCCTTACCTGCATTGACTTTGCTACCTTCCATACACGTTGTCTATAGCCCCCCCCCCTGACAGCACATTGCAGTACCCTTACCTGCATTGACTGTGCTACCTTCCATACACGATGTCTATAGTCCCCCACCCTGACAGCACATTGCAGTACCCTTACCTGCATTGACTCTGCTACCTTCCATACACGTTGTCTACAAACACCCTGACAGCACATTGCAGTACCCATACTTGCATTGACTCTGCTACCTTCCATACACGTTGTCTATAGTCCCCCACCCTGACAGCACATTGCAGTACCCTTACCTGCATTGACTCTGCTACCTTCCATACACGTTGTCTAGTCCCCCACCCTGACAGCACATTGCAGTACCCTTACCTGCATTGACTGTGCTACCTTCCATACACGATGTCTATAGTCCCCCACCCTGACAGCACATTGCAGTACCCTTACCTGCATTGACTCTGCTACCTTCCATACACGTTGTCTACAAACACCCTGACAGCACATTGCAGTACCCATACCTGCATTGACTCTGCTACCTTCCATACACGTTGTCTATAGTCCCCCACCCTGACAGCACATTGCAGTACCCTTACCTGCATTGACTCTGCTACCTTCCATACACGTTGTCTAGTCCCCCACCCTGACAGCACATTGCAGTACCCTTACCTGCATTGACTCTGCTACCTTCCATACATGTTGTCTACACCCACCCTGACAGCACATTGCAGTACCCTTACCTGCATTGACTCTGCTACCTTCCATGCACGTTGTCTATAGTCCCCCACCCTGACAGCACATTGCAGTATCCATACCTGCATTGACTCTGCTACCTTCCATACACGTTGTCTATAGTCCCCCACCCTGACAGCACATTGCAGTACCCTTACTTGCATTGACTCTGCTACCTTCCATACACGTTGTCTACACCCCCCTGACAGCACATTGCAGTACCCTTACCTGCATTGACTCTTCTACCTTCCATACATGTTGTCTACACACACACAGCCCCCTGACAGCACATTGCAGTACCCTTACCTGCATTGACTCTGCTACCTTCCATACACGTTGTCTACACCCCCTGACAGCACATTGCAGTACCCTTACCTGCATTGACTCTGCTACCTTCCATACATGTTGTCGACACCCCCCCCCCTGACAGCACATTGCAGTACCCTTACCTGTATTGACTCTGTTACCTTCCATACACGTTGTCTACACCCCCCACCCTCGACAGCACATTGCAGTACCCTTACCTGCATTGACTCTGCTACCTTCCATACACGTTGTCTACAGACACTAATGGCATCCTGAACAGCATTTGTTTTTTGTAATTCAAATTTGTATTCTGGTGAATTAATAAAACTTCCTTCATAGATGGGTAACTCTTTTGGCTTTAGTTTGAATCTGTCATCCATTTCATTTGCCCTCACCATTGGCAACAACAGAACCATTGATCCAGGAGCAGATACTCTGATAGCTCTTAGAACCTAGAAGAAAACATATGTACATAGTATTTAATGTTGAAAAATTATGTTCTGAGAAAATGATAGAAAAACAATATATTATATTTATAAAAACACACACATGTTTGATATACTAAAGCAAGAATAAAAGAAGAAAAACCAAGCTAGTGAAGGAAAAAGTAATCTGAAGTTTCTTTATGATGTTTGCAGGCAACTTAAAGCCTACATTGATTTCAAACAAATTAAGGTACACCAGCTCGGTTTGATTTCAAACAAGGTACCAGCCTGCCTGATATTCACATTTAGCTGCAACTTTTCACAATACATATTCATACAAATCGTCAAGACTATTTTGGAGCTCGAAATTTGAATCTGATAAAATTTTACATCTGCACAGAGTAAACAATTCAGGTTGATATTGTTGAAACTGACTGAATCAGAATGAACAAAACAATTTGGATAAGGACAATGGATAATAGTGGGCTCAAATTACATCTTTTTTTAAGGTAGCGGGACTATTATTTGCTTACTTGTTTTCATCTTCTAATTGTGACCAAATGACTACAAATAGACCCAGGAAAGTATATATTTTTAGAATCGCCAGACTTCAAGCTTTGCAAAGGTGTGTTCGTCATGCCCGTATCTGCATTCTATGACCTGTTACTTAATCAAAGGTGAAAAATTACTTTTTCTGTAAAAAAAATAATTATGCATTTATGCTGGCGATAAGAAGTATTTTTTTCACTTTTCCTAGTTGTTCAATAGTCTGGTAAATTTAATGTGTCTGGTCAGTTTTATGCAAGCAACATGTTTTAAAAAATAGTGTGCTGAATTTCAATTACTGTTTTAGTCGCATTGCCCCCAACTCAAACCACAACTCGTTTGTAAATAACCTATGAAATAGCTTGTCTGGACACATTCAAGTTCCTCTCACTGTCACCTCAAAGCTGTGAAAATTTGGTGTTAATCTGACGACAATAAGTATACGTTATTTTTTGTTAAAGACCTTGTATTTTGAAAAACATAAACTCCTAGAAAACGTCCATGAAGTAACAGCAAAGATTTTCAAGCTTGTTTATCGGCACAATCAATTTGTTTTCCCATCAAGGTCTGCTTTAACATGTGTAGGGACATCCAAATGTATAAGGCTATTGGAAACCAAAAAAATAAAGGAATGGGATAGCTATAATTGGATAAATTGGATAATTTGCATATTTATATTTACCTGTTTCTTACTTAGGTCTCATTTGCCTTTTTCTTTTATAAACTACCATGTATAGGGCTAGTTAACTTAAAGGTCACTTTTGCATATTTGAGGGGGGGTGACCAATCATTCGGCGACTGCCTATGGATTAACGGAGGTGGCGCTTCGCGCCGTTATTTAAGCATGGGTTTTAACACTCTTAATTCAGTGTTCCTGCATTGCCTGCCTCAATCTGATTAAAATCTGATGTAGTGTACGGGCTTTAATTATTTTGGCTATAAACTTATTTTAATTTTATTTTTTATTACTTTTGTTACTAATGCCCTTTTATTTTATTTTATTTTATTTTATTTTATTTTATTTTATTTTATTTTATTTTATTTTATTTTATTTTATTTTATTTTATTTTATTATTTTACTTTGATTTTGATTTTGTGATTTTTTTAATTCCGCCTTACC